GTAAGAGGGCGGTCAGTTAATTTGTGTTACCAATGAACAAATGAATTGGAATAAACACTTCTGATAGATGTCTTAAAAATTTCAGCAACTTGGATGATAATCATGCAGACAGACACCTCATAGTGTTGTTGAAACATCTGAAAGAAAAGATTACCACACACACACACAAACACACAAATCGCCGATATTTTGATAGCGCGCCTTAACCCTACTGCGTACCTGATATAATAGCGGGTATTTTCTCCTCTTCAATTATTCTTTAATCATATTTATGTTCAAAGATTTTTTAAAACATTTTGAGGAAAGCAATTAACAAACAAGAAACTAAGAGATGTTCAGTATATTCATGTATGTAACATTCACAAACTGTAAGTCTCCTGTTACTGCAAGGTACACGAGTACTGGAGCATACTTCTAAATGTTGGATAAAAGTAATTATTTTATCGCTTAACACAAAAATGAATTTAAAAGTTAAAGGTAAATATAATGCTGAAACAACCTGCCTCAAATGTTTGCATAAAATGATCTTTTTTATCTTTAACTTCCTTGTTTCAAATTTTAAAAAAAAGTAGATGAATGATGAATAAATATATTTTAAAATACACTGCATTTGAATATCACAATTTATATCCTCGAGTTCTCATTCGTTATAGCAAATGCAATGAATCCTACTTTGAAGTAAAACATGAAGAAATAGGAAAATCAGTGGAGTGGATGCAGGGGTTCTATTCCCTCTAAAAATAGCTTTCTGGTAATTTTATTAAGTTGGAATCTGATAGATATCTTTGAAATTTACGTCTTATTCTACAAAAAAATCTATAATTGATCTTACAATCAAACAATAACTGAGACTTATTAACCTGACAACGTTCTCGTCAAACTGTTTAAACATTTTCGGTATTACTTTATAATGTATAATTATATTTCTTTGATGTTTACACCTACAAGAACAAAATTTAAGAAACAATCAAATAATTAACCCTTACATATCATTCACACTCATAGAAAGAGAATTCATGTCTGATTATAAGGGAAATTGAAATATTTTGTCTAGAGTGGGTGTTCAAATCGTACTTAAACAATCATAGTCCAGGGTGAATGTTCAATGTGCCAAGTCCATGATCAGCTTAATTGAATATCACGTATCTGTCAGATAAACTTCAAAAACTTCCAATTTTAGGGGCAAATCAAACAGACTAATCCTCAGTAAGAATAAGGAAAATTTTTCTTAAACGTTTCTCTGCAAACGGATAAGTATTTGGAGTATAAAAAGGGAAGGTTATACCCCGGGGAAGGGGCACAAAACGGAATATAGATAAAGATTTGTAGCTGGAACAACGATTCTGATCAATTTCATTGATAAAGTATTCAAATTTTGAGTCTATTCATACATCATACGAGCGAAACAGTAACCTATTAATTTACTTATCCATGCTTATTAGGTTTTTTAAGGTCTTAATGAATAATAACCCAAAATATCAAATATTCCAAGAATACTTTTGATTCAATATTCAAATAGCGTTAATTAAAAAACACTGCTTCATGTAATTGGGTTTTGGGGTTCAATCTGAAATACTTCTGCTACCATTTTTTAAAAAGTAGTACTCGGAACAGCCTAATATACAGATATATAGGAAAATCATCTGTCCTAATAGGCAGAGCTATTCAGCGAATTGATCGTCGATTTTTTCCCCACATTTTTTGAGATGAGTGATGATGATTTTCTATAAAAATCGCTTTTAAAAACGAGAGAGAAAAAAAAACCGTGAAAAACAAACAACAGTTAAGGCATCCTTTATGATTGCAAATTGCTTAAAAGGTATAAAATTAGTTTGAACCTTTTTTTTTTTTTTTTTTTTTTTTTTTTTTTTTTTTTAATTTCTTAAATATGATAGAATTTTGTTGAACTGCACTGCAATGATACAAATAAAGGATGAAAGTCTTAAAATAAATCTGTCACAATTGCTGATTTGGTGTTTTGAACCAATCATAACTTTTATTATATTTTTATTTCCTCGCTTACGTCAAGGAAATTTCACCAAAAATTTGATATATTTACATTTCATGTATTACAGTTATGCATTTAGTTAATTCCTTACCTTTCCCTTTCTCTTACTTCCTTATTTTCCTTATATAAATACATTAAAATTATCAGGTATACACATAAAATATAAGGGATGTATGATCCCTAACAAAAAAAATACTATAGTAAACTATAGTTAACTATAGTTTACTATAGTTAACTATAGTAAATCAATGTTCCAAAGTCTTTACTATAGTAAATCAAAGTTCCAAAGTTTTTACTATAGTAAATCAAAGTTCCAAAGTTTTTACCATAGTAAATCAAAGTTCCAAAGTAAATCAAAGTTCCAAAGTTTTCACTATCGTAAATCAAAGTTCCAAAGTTTTTACTATAGTAAATCAAAGTTCCAAAGTTTTCACTATAGTAAATCAAAGTTCCAAAGTTTTTACTATAGTAAATCAAAGTTCCAAAGTTTTCACTATAGTAAATCAAAGTTCCAAAGTTTTCACTATAGTAAATCAAAGTTCCAAAGTTTTTCTATAGTAAATCAAAGTTCCAAAGTTTTCACTATAGTAATCAAAGTTCCAAAGTTTTTCTATAGTAAATCAAAGTTCCAAAGTTTTCACTATAGTAATCGAAGTTCCAAAGTTTTTACTATAGTTAATTAAAGTTTCAAAGTTTTCCCTATACTTAATCAAAGTTCAAAGTTTTTTTTATTAGTTTAACAACTTAGGTATTTTTATTAATTTTTTTTATTATTTAGCCGTTTTAGGGGAGGGGTGGATATGGGGTTGGTTGGGGCTGGTTTTTGTTGTACATCTTTATTTAAATATACAAAGTAGTTAATTCAAATGCAATATTTACATTTATAAATTAAAAAAAAATACATGTTGACTGAAGTTGATGAAGCAGATATTTTGATTCTAAATGACACAATAAAATATTATTTTTTGTCCATAAATGAGAATTACATTACATCTGCATAACATTAAAATTAAATGCATTGAAGTAAATATTGCTTATTTATCGGCGCAAGCGACAACCTTTACATTAAAATTCATATCTTGTACATTATTCTTTTAGGGGAGGGGTCGGGTTTTAAAAATGTTCTCTAAAGCTTTTATGAATCTTAAACTTGAAATATCATAAAATGTAAAGAATGGGAATCAAAAACATAATTCCACAGGATTTATCGTACTTAATCAAAGTTTCAAAATTTTTACTATAGTAAATCAAAGTTCCAATGTTTTTACTATAGTAAATCAAAGTTCCAAAGTTTTCACTGAAGTAAATCAAAGTTCCAAAGTTTTCACTACAGTAGATCAAAGTTCCAAAGTTTTCACTATAGTAATTCAAAGTTCCAAAGTTTTTACTATAGTAAATCAAAGTTCCAAAGTTTTTACTTTGGTACTATAGTTAACTATAGTAAACTATAGTTAACTATAGTTTACTATAGTATTTTTTTGTTAGGGATACAGTAAGTATAACGTTTAGTATTTATAGCAATCTTCAGTAAGACATTTTCTCCCAAGTGTATTACAAAGCTCAACATTTCAATGAACATTCATTGACTTTTTTTTTTTTACTGAAGAAGTAAATTTTTGTTAAATTAAATGCATGTACCGTGCAATATTTGTATTATATATGAGATGTTGACTGAAAAAATCAATATTCTCAAGCAGTGTATGTGCCTGATTGTTGTATGGTACAAATAGTTCAAAGCACATTATGCAGTTTCAAAGTTTTCAATGGACATTCAGTGATGATATTCAACAATAAACGGACATAAAACATTCACAAAGACTATACATTCTCTCTCTTCGTCGGTTGTTAACCTTTAGCCATTTATTCAACTGTTGATGGCTTATTTATATTTCCACGTCACGGCGTCATCTGATATTTGTCAAGTGACACGTATTACTGCAAGGCATCATTAGTGTTATTTCTTAAGTTGGAGTGTATGCAGTAATGTAAGTAAAATTTCTGCATGACTTACGTTATTTGATCTTGACATTGAAGCTGGACTTAGTAAACAGTCACATTAATTTTGCAACTTTAGTCACATATGTTTATAACAGTTTAAATTTTATTTTTAGATTTTCAGTTATAATAACTATAGTTAATAACATGCCTTATACTATAAACATTGGGATTATATCAAGACTTGACAAATGTACAATCCTATATGATTGATTGATTGTGTGTAGTTTTACGTACCGTTCGAGAATTTTTCACTCATAATAGACTTAAGAGACGTATGAGTGAAATACTCTCAAATGTGACGTTAAACAAACAAACATACAATCAATCAATCAATATGAACACCTCTAACATTATATATCAAAAATTCCCCAATGTCCAAAAAACAGTATCTTTAAGTGTGTAGAGGGCCCTTAAGTGTGTCTTAAATGAAAATAATACAATCAATCAATCTTCATTTGTTGCTAACAAGTAAAGATTTCTGTCCTCACTTGGTTTAACAGTCACGTTAATGTTAATCTTATATTTTTCATCCGAGCTTTTAGGCATTGATCTTTAATTCATAATTCGATGAGAGAACACATACAAATTATTAATAAATGTTTTATGTAAAGAAAGAGTTTGAGGCGTGGATTATGTTCTAACAAGAGGGAAAAGGAAATGTAACCATATTAACATTTTATGAATTCGTTGACGTTGTCTTTTGCAGGAAAAGATGACTGTTTTCCGTAGAGGAAATATGACTACGTTTTAAAAAGTGAACAATGTCATTTTTTTATGAACTTTCCAGAATCAATACCAAGGTACTTTAGACTATGCTTAAAAAAATCACAAAAGTTGCCAATTTGTTAATGTAACCCTTTGTATAATTTCGTTTTTTATCTAATTCAGACGATTATCTACAAGATCAAAGAAAGGCGGAATCACGTAGAAATAGATGAGTTACGAGGAAGAGATAGGGTCAAGGTCAGAAAGAAGGCGTCAGCTAAAGGTCAAGTTGGTGTCAGATGAAGACATCAGTAAAACTCATGAATGTCACAGGAACCCGATCGGTGACGAAAGATATGCTGGCAAAAAATGTCTAAAAAATATGAGGAAAGTTGATATTTCATCCGGAGTTAATCAAGATAGCGGTCATGAAAATGATTCTGAAGGAACTAATCTTAGATTAGTATACTGCAGCAAGCTGAGAAGTAAACAATGCAGAAGTAGCAAAATATCACACGAATCAAAAAGAGAACGATTTGTTGTTTGCAAGAGAAATGTTTTCCCGAAATTTTCAAGAAGAAAAGAGGATAAGCCACATAAATCACATCAATCATATGTGTACCACAGTTCCCTTCTTTGCAAACATGTAGAAAGGATAGAAGAAATTGTCAGTAAGATTGAAGGCGACTTTAAAAGAGTTCCTCCAACGGCTTTGCACAAGGAAAGTAAAGGAGTATTTCGAAGAGATCGGAAAAAGAAATGCAAGGTATTTTGCTCTTCAAAATTTGGTTTAATTGCCAGAGGAAAGAAAAACAAAAAGACCCAAGAGAAACATTCACAGTTAAATTTGGAGAAATGCCGTATAGAAAAATATTTTCCAGGAAGGTATTTACCTTTATTTTATTCTAGAAAGGGTAACAGAACAGTCGATGAGATTTACAGAAAGTATCTCAGGACCAATCCAATAACAAAAAGATATTCCAACGTTATAGGTGTAATCAAAGAAAATATCAGGAAGTTTGAGCATCAGTATTGTTCAAAGCATTATCAGAATAAAATACAATCAGGTTGTATCAGAAAAAACATATATTCGAATTTTAAGGATCATCTAAAGTTCATTCTGTTCGGATTACCTCAAATAAGGAATGGATTTATTCATCTTTTCCCGGTATATGGTATTTCTAGAAATCTTGACGAATTTGTAGAAAGAGAAATAAATCAAAATCAGGGAAGTAATGACCAACAAACCTTTTGTCATTCATTGAATTTAGAACTTGTAAGATTAGGTTCATTTCACAATTTTCCGTCTTCCAGCTCAGTATCAACGGTGAAGCTTGCTCGTCAGGGGTTTTATTATTCCAAGGAAGAAAACACTGTTATATGTTTCGCTTGTGGATTTAAAAAAGATGACTGGAAAAAAGACGATAATGTTGAAACTATTCATAGAGCTGCCTCGCCAAACTGTCCGCTTCTTAATTCAAATTCTACAAGTAATATTCAGATTGGAGGGAATGAAGCAAATGGAATTGATGAAAGTTGTGTGAGTCAAAATGAAGGTCAAATAAGAATAACTGGATCGTTTGTTAATGGATCAGGAAATGGATCAAAAGCTTCAGTCAAAAATGAAGGTATATCCAGAAACATTAGAGATTGTGTACAAAATCACTCTTCCAATAGACCACCAAGTGATCAGCTCACAAAAGCTAGAGCTCAGCAAGAAAAGATTAATGCATTCATTCGAGACTTGGATCCACTAGGTATTAACTTTGACCGTCCAAAATATCCTTCTTATTCAGTATTAGCAGTGAGAATAAGTTCCTTTACAGACTGGCCTTCAAGTATCACACAGAATCCCAGAGACTTAGCCATTGCAGGATTTCTTTACGCAGGCTATGGAGATTACACCCGATGTTTCTTCTGCGGAGGAGGATTAAGAAACTGGGAACCTGTTGACGATCCTTGGACAGAACATGCCAGATGGTTTCCGAAGTGTGCTTTTCTGAGACAGAACAAAGGAGACGAGTTTGTTGCTTTGGTGCAAATTGAACACCTAGAAGAGGTAAGTATTTCTTAGAAATGGTGCTGTATGTATACTATAAACTAACTTTTATTAGCGTGCGAGAAATATCCACGAGTTTTGGACCTACTTTAACTCGGGAATATTAATCGCTGTGAACCATTTTTTTTTTTTTTTTTTTTTTTGGCTTTTTATTTGTAGATTATGTTTTCTCAGTAGCGTAAATTAATCGTTGCGGATTGATTTTAAACGGGCTAAAAGCGAATAAAAGAATAATCGTTGGTTTACAGTATTTATTCATGTATTGTTGTTTGATTTTCATTATGCATGTTGTGTTAGAATTTCTTATTTTAAGGAGGCATTAGGAGGTGTGAATGGTTATCACGACGACCAAGCGAATGGTATCATAAACAATTACAGACAAACCAATAATTCTGTACAAAGCCTCACAATCCATCCAGGTTTTCAAAGTCTGCTTGAAATGGGCTACTCATCTCCAACCATTCAAAAAGCGTTTGATCTCTTGAAAGAAACGAAAGGTAAACATAATATTGATACTGTTATACTGGTATAGAGAAAATTTTCGACCCTGTTTTGTTTTAACCTTTGCAAGGGAGCAAAATTAAAAGGGACAAAAGCAGTGTCGCCAAGAGTAATCTTTTAACAACTGAGTATGGACAAAATCGTTTAGAAATTTAAGAGGGCGATGATAACACTGAAATTGACAAAAAATGAGGACACAATAATATACAGACAATTAACAGTGCGATATAGGTGTACAATTCTATTTTACTCATAATCCTTATTATTAGAATTATTACAGTGTGTATTAAAATTTCAGAATCGATTAATATAAAGGCTGAAGAATTACTAGAAATAGTCTTAGCTGAAGAGGAGTCAACTGGAGAAGACACGTTATCGCCGTCTGCATCAGGAAGCTTGCAAGAAAAATTAACAAACGAAGGGAAATCAAAAAAACTTAAAGCAGACACTTGCAAAGCTACAAATTCTGAAGAAATGAAGGAAGGAAGTGGTGAGTAGATAAAAATATAACTGTTCAATTCTAAACATGGTTGAGAGATTGGTTTATTTGACAAAGAAACTGGAATCTTAAATAGAAAATTAAAATATGCTTTGTAGATTTTCAAACGCATAATCAAAGAGATAGGAACATTGTTAGCCAGTCGTTGGAGTTCATGTCAGTTGAAGGTACTGATCACTGATTGTAGTCATGTAAAGCTAATAAAATGTAAAATATATCCGTTTATCCCTTCATTTAAATCTTTCAAATACCCATTATTGAAAATTTTATTTTTCTCTTTACTCAGAGACAAGGTCACTCATTGAAGAAAACAGAAAACTAAAGGATCTACGGCTTTGTAAAATATGTCTTGAGAACGAGGCTTCTATCGCAATGTTACCTTGTGGTCATCTCTGCTGTTGTTCAGACTGTGCTCCGGCCATGAGGAAGTGTCCGATATGTCGACAGTTTGTAAAAGGGACAGTTAAAACATGGCTGGTTTAATAATTTTTTGGGGATATTTTTTATTTAAAGCATGATATTATTAACAACAATTATGTATGTTGAAATATGATAGATAACATTTAATTTTATTTTTCAATGCTTTTTCGTAATGAATCATCATTGATAATATTTGTGCAAAAAAAGTTTGTTAAATGAACTGCATGTCAACCATTCGAACATTATATAACACAGAAAATTGAAAACAATTGCTTAACTCAGTTGTTCAATAAAAGGTAATTTTTATTTTACGACTTGCAATTCAAATAATAGTAATGATAAAGAAACAAACAGTTTTTGCCCTAACGGTGGATTTTTTCAGTTGGTGCATATATTCTCCTTAAAAACCCAGTTTTTTTACCGTACGGTTACCTGAGAGGAGGGAGCGGTCTTATTAGTACAGATGTTATTTATCTGGAGTGGCCTTATACTCAAGATGCCAAAAATTCATATACACATTGCATTATACAGGAAGTCTTTATGGTGATCATGATCAACATTACACAAGTTTCTTGTCTACATATGTAATTCTGAGTGAAACAGTAGTGAAACCAAATAATACTTTTGCAAGAAATTGATAAACTCAACATTTTCATCAATATTTAAAAAAAATATCATGTATAAAGAAAATACTTTTTTAAAAAGTTATATGTAAAAAAAAATCTCGATTGTAAGCTACAAAGCAATCTTATCAATGACTTCTTAATTGTCAGCAAATAAATTATTACTAGGTACACTGTACGTGTAAATATTGAAAAAAGAGTTCCATTTCTCTTGAGTACATTAACCATCTAGAAATTATTAATTTCCCTGGCTGACACTAGCGCCCATGATGTTCATTTACGAATAAGGAATTTAGAGAAAATTCGAACCATGATTTTGACATTTCTTCCACTACGTGGTGAAGAATTATTGAAAATGTTTGTACTTTAAATTTCTTAAATAAAAATAAATGCCATCCGAAGATAATGCAATTTAAAATTAAACTCCAATCTATTTTACACCAAAAACAATATTTACGTATGTGTACTATTTGTGATTTTTTTTAACATCTGCATCCACAAATAAAATATGTGATTAAGTAATCTTCATAATTTTTAAACTTAATTCATGCCAACAGTGTCTAATTATCTTCTTTCAATTATTTTATTCTATTTTGTGTTCATTCATTTTATGGGGAGGGGGGCTCGTATATTGTTTCTAGATGACGGCGAATTTCTGTGAATCAAGCTGGGCACATAAAAGAGGTTGGCGCGTGGTCAGGTAATTGCTATCGAAACGTCCAATCTCAGAACGGTTTATTCCCCGAACGTCTACTGGCTAAAACAACTATTTAATTATCACACTCAATTAAGAGGCTCTCTAAGGGGTCCAGGTAGAGTTTACCTGTGTTAAATTGATTGAACAAAGTAGTCAGAATCAAATAATTTAATATTTACTGATAAAACTGTGTACTAAAGCACAGATTTATTGATTAAATACTTGCTATAATTGAAGGCACTAAACAATTAAATATTTTTTCATGTACATGTACATGTAATAAATAATTTATTATAAATTATTTTCAATATTTATTATTCTTACATGTTCACGGAAATTTTATTTGACAGATCTTTAAGACACCTCCTCTGAAATATGGCTTAAGTATGGAAAGATTGATATTTATTTAGTTTAAATTAATTTTTATGAATTTTGGGGGGTTTTTTGAGGAGAAAATGAAAAGAATGTTTTAATTGCAAATAAGATCCGTTAGAGTTCAAAGTTTGCCCTAAATAAATGGATAATATAAATATTTAATAGAAAATGTCAAGAAAAATCAGATAAGCTTTTTTTTTTTTAATTTTTGCTAAAAAATTATTTATGAAAATAAAACACATTATTTTTAGCATTTTTTAAACTAATGCATAAAATTTTCAAGATTTTTACATTTCCCCTGAAAAAAAATCATGTTAAAACAGTAAATATCTTTTATCAATATTTCCATGCTGAATCCATGTTTCAGAAGAGATGTCAAACATTATTGTTGCTGTAGAATTCCTCCTTCAATAAATACAGGTAAATCTGGTTCATAAATGATTGTAGATCCTATCTGTACCCCTTAGAGTGCCCCTTAATTGAGTGTGATAATTAGATGTTGGTTTAGTCCAGTAGACGTTCGGGGAACACACCCTCAGAACATCAGATAGCACAAGTAGCTGACCTGTCAAATAGATCAGTAGCTATTGTATTATTTATGATTGACAGGCAGTATATTATTGATCTTGAACTAGGTAGACTTTGGGGGCGTTAACGTAAAATTGGGTGTTTAAAATCTATCTTAAAAAATCAGATATTAGAGTCCGATAAGTAAACAATAAAAATTTCAAAGCGATACGAAGAATGAAGAATTCATTTTATCATTTGACTCCTACACAACACCACAAAACATATTTAAATTTAAAAAAAATCAATTTCAGTTTCTAATATTAGAAAATATTGAAATATTATCCTGATACATATAACCAGGTATATTTTTACCGAATGACCACAGAATGTTACCTAATTCTGAGACTTTTCATATGTATTTAAAAAGGAATTGTAATACTCGGATATTAGAAGGGTTTCTTTTGTGAAATATCCTTTTTGATTAATTAAATAATGGAATTGATTTTTGGAGTGATATGAAATTAGAAAGATCTGTTTCCACATATTTCTTTTTATTTAAATTTTCAATATTATTCGAATTTGTTGTATCTTAAAGTTGATCGAGAGCTCGAGGATATAAATTGATATGATTTTCTAGTATCCTATTTATGATATCTTAGACATCATAGGTGAATTATGATAATATAAAGAAGAAATATATAATTTCACAAAGAATTTGAAATCAATGAAAAGGTAAAAGTTTTCCTTTGCCAATTAAGCGCTTGGCATGTGGGTCTTTCGGATGGAACCTTAAAAACTAAGGTCCTGTGTCACGACGAGCGATCACACGCTGTAGAACCCTCTCCAGCGGCGGATCCAGGAATTTCATAACGGGGGGGGAGCAGTAGAAGGCAGGGGGGGTCTGGGGGCTGGATTGAAGCCCCCAGCGGGTCCAGGGTAAAACAAGAGATTTTTTTCCCTTGATTTTAGGATGATACAAACAAAATGTCAGAAAAAAAAAATATCAAACTGGGGGGGAAGGGGGGGGGACGCCCGGCGCGCTGGCGCTGGATCCGCCTTTGACTCTCTGCTGAATGGCCTTGAGTGACGGGTAAAGGTTCAAATTTGAAAAACTTCACCGGTATCTGATGAAATCTCATATGAGTGAAAAAGTCTTGCAAGGAACACTACAACAATCAATCACACTAAGATTTCAATAGACTAACTGACACCGACCTTTAAAAGATACTTTCTTGGGTGTATTCTGAAATTCAAAAAATGCCTACTTTTTAAAAAAAAAATCTCTGGAGTTTATTTTCGTGCGCCGTGACATTCATACATTTTAGGTTGAGTTATTGTGGTGACGGATATGACTTTGAAATTAATACACTTACCCAAGAACCACCCCCATGTATATATTTATAGACGTGTTAAAATAGCCAAGTACACCGACGCATGCTATAGTGCAAATATCTTAGAAGATCAGATCAATAGTACAAAAAGTACATGTATGTGTATGTGGTTTCTGCTCCATTTTAATTGCCAGAATTTTTAAAAAATCACTTTCCCGGTAGCCAGTTGAAGAGCGAAGTTCATGACAGAACTATAAATAGAAACAAGCGTGAAAAGAGAAATTTGCTATCAGTGCTGATACATGTATTTAGCTTTACAAACAAAATTAATTTTGAATCAACACTTTATAATAGATTCTAAACACTTTCGCAAGGAAGTTTTAAACAACACAAAACATTTAGGATTCATATTTAAACTAATTTACAATAATGATAAAAACAGATATACAGTATTAGATATCCATATTGCATCTAATATTTTATACCGAACATTTCGTGGGCTTAATCACTCACTGTCCTATTATCCCCTTACTTTATTACAAAGTAATATATATCAGAAGCATATTTAATGACATGTATCAAACGGAGTAGCCATGCGTTGTGTTATCATATGTTTCCTATGGAAAAAATATATTTCTATTTTAGCATATCTAGTACATTTACCAGGAATTCCATCGTAATGGAGAATGATAGAATAATAAAAGGCTTACTTTGCTTCTATGAAAGACAAACCATATTTTACATAGAAACCATTTATCAATTTGTAAACTGTTCAGACAAATTAAAACTGTTTTCAAAGGTTCTTACATTTTTATGAATTATGTAAGTTGCCTGTACTTTTTCACGCTCTTTTTTTTTTTTTTTTTTTAAATTTACTTATTGTTCTGAGGGATGGGGGTGGAGTGGTGATGTTATAACTTAGAAAAATTAATCAATGGTTTACAAAATTCGTAAAACAATTATATTAAAGACTAAAAGCAATATAATCAAATTTATCTTTGTACATTTTAAAATCGTTTGGAAACTTATAAGCGATTTTGAAATTTGAAACTTTGGTCTCTAGAGTGCTCAAAAATGGTATTTGCCCTTGCATAACTCTGTATCTATGCAAAACTTTTATTGTGGTTTAAATTAGTTTTATTAATACTGATAATAGATTTTTTTGTTCGAATATACATTACTGTTAAATATTTTATTGTAGATATAATATTTCTTTTTATGCTGAATCATTACCATCACTGTTAAAATACTCTTCCATGTTCATAATAAGATTTATCAAAGTTCTATAAATTGACATCGAACTTTCTAGTTGTTGTATCATGTATATAATGCCGTTTTCTTTACACATACCAAACTTAAAAAGATGTTAAGATGACTTTCTCCCAGATAAGGAAAAAAATAAGTTATTTTGATAACATTTATTTTTTTTACAATGATATTGTATCATTTTAGCTATAAAATAACCTTGTGTCACTTCAGCTAAAATGCTTAGAAAAAGAACCTTAAGGATCGATAATTTCCATCTTATATAATTCTTAATTAAAGCGAACAATTAAAATCAGTGTTGAAAACATTAGGCACCAAAATCTGTTCAAAGAGCTTTTTACAGATTTTGATA